CGCCTCCCAAGTAGCTGGGACCACAGGCGCCCGCCACAACGCCCGGCTATTTTTTTGGTTGCAGCCGTCATTGTTGTTTGGTGGGTCCGGGCTGGATTCGAACCTGCCACCTTAGGTGTACGTGGCTGGCGCCTTAGCTGGTTGAGCTATAGGCTCCGAGCCAGTTTTATCAATCTTTAAAAATCATCACTATTCAGGTAACTCCTAATTTATTTTTTTAATATTATTTATTTTTGGAGACAGAGTCTCACTACGTTGTCCTTGGTAGAATGCTGTGGTGTCACAGCAACCTCGAACTCTTGGGCTTAAGCAATTCTCTTGCCCCAGCCTCCCAGTAGCTGGGACTACAGGTGCCTGCCACAGAGCCCAGCTATTTTTTTTGTCATAGTTGTCATTGTTGTTTGGCAGGCCCTGGGCCAGGTTCAAACCTGCCAGTCCTCATGTACATGGCCGGCACCCTAGCCGCTGAGCTATGGGCTCAGAGCTTATTATTATTATTATCTGTTTTGAGATAGTCTTACTTTGTCAGTCTTGGTAGAGTGCAGTGCCTTCATAGCTCACAGCAACCTTAAACTCTTGGGCTCAAGCAATCCTCCTGTCTCAGCCTCCCAAGTAGCTGGGGCTGTAGGCACCCACCACAACACCTGGCTATTTTTAGAGACAAGGTCTCACTCTGGCTCTGGCTGGTCTCAAACCTACAAGCTCAGACAATCTACCTGCCTTGGCCTCCCAAAGTGCTAGGATTATAGGCATGAGCCATGTAACTAATTATATCCACAGCCCCTGTGACCCTCCCAAACCCACACTTTTATTTAGAGATGGGGGTCTCGCTGTGTTACCCTGGCTTTAGTATGCTATGGCATCATCACAGTTCACAGCAACTTCAAACTCCTGGGCTCAAGCAATCTCCTGCCTCAGCCTCCCAAGTAGCTTGGACTGCAAGTATCACCACCTTGCCTGGCTCCAAACCTACAGTGCAGAACCTGCTTGCAGTTTCACATGTACACTGGGATGTGCAACAGAGTCTCCAATTCCACAGCTCCAGGCAGAGCTTCTCCCACTCGTTATTTGCTCCCAAGTGCACTTTAGGGCCTCCTACCAGGTCTCCCTTTTGCCCCGGGCCCTGCAGCCTGGTCCCCACACCATAGCCAGACTTCCTGACATTAGAGGCCACCTGTGACTCTGATGAAGCCTCCATATCTCACTGCAGTTTACAGAAAACAGGGGACAGAGAAGTACATTAACAGCATTAACACTAGACAAACATAACCACATAAATGCAGAATGTCCACCAAATGACCTGGGGTGTTTTATGTAAGAATGGGAGGAAAAGAGGCAACTCTCATGGAGAGGTGTGAGCTACTTACCCAACTAAGATGAAATTTTGATTAAAAAAATAAAAGCCTAGCTCAGCACCTGTAGTTCAAGTGGCTAAGGCACCAGCCACATACACAAGAGCTGGTGGGTTCAAATCCAGCCCAGGCCTGCCAAACGATAACTACAACCAAAAAATAGCCAG